GAAAGAGTGGGAGTAGGAAGGGAGTGATAGGACATATGGGGGGGTGGGAAAGAGAGACAGAGAGAGATGAGGAGACATTAGTGATCAAAGTGTTGGGGGGAAGAAACAAACAGATAAGAACAGAAAACCCAAAGAAAGCTGGATAAAATAAAGAAGAGAGCATTTGAAAGCATTTGAAGCAGAGTCCAAAGTCTCAGTGAGTGGTCTGTCACAGAACTAGGAGTTTAAGGGGCCTACTCTGTGTTTTGTGTGCCTGCAAACCTTGGATGCAATTCCTATCACAAGTTCAGTGCAGCTCTGAGTATTCATACCTGCCACCCTCTCCTTTGCTGTACCTCGTGTCTAGATTTTGCTGCTGCTTGGAAAGAACCAAATAAAATGAATCTGATTAGATTATACTAGAAAATAATACATCCTGTACTTTGAATCAATTCAACAACAGCCTCAGTTGCAACCTGTATTTTTCTAATCCTCTCTTCTGTTCAGTATTATTTTCACAGTGGCAACACCTGTTGTTGTGACACCAACAACTGGTTTGGAGATTTTTGGAGAGTCTTGAGGACCTCAGAATCCCCATAAAATCCTGAATTTTAGGCCAAAATCCTGGAGTTAGGCTGGTACTTGAGCATGCAGCAATTCTTGTTGAAATCTGGATTCAGTTTATTATGGGAACATAATATGATTGCATGTATATGCCATCTAGTGGTGGTCATAATTACAGCAACTAGTAGTCTTTTACACAGGAAATGCCACTTTTTACTTCAATAACCAGGATCCTTTAGCAGGAAGTTAGGTGTGGTCTGTTGAAGAAGAATTTAAAAAAAAAGAAAAAAAAAAAAAAAAGGAAAAAAAGAAAAGAAAAAGGCATGATGGAATTTTAGCTGCAATCTTCATGGTGTCATTCCAAATCCACATAGGTGTGAGATTCTACATGGGTAATGCATGTTTAATTGTTACCTATAGTATTTAGATGGGATTCTATATTTTTTTCTGTCATTGGCAATAAAATTCATGAAGGTTTTGCAGTAGGATCACTTTCATATTCCTTCTTCTGCTACCAAACTGTGTATGTTCCAGCAGCAGGTTTTCTACAGAACATCCGTGCTGTAGGTGCATTTGCCTGTAATTGGAGAGTATGCTTCACAGATGTATCTGCATGAGCTAGTGTATATGTTTGCATTCATGAGTGTACATGTGTGAGTGCGCCCGCATGTGGGTAGGGGGAGATGGTTAGCTATATGATGAAGAGCAAAGGAATGAAGGAGAAGACTTAGTATTACCTTATACTCTGAAGGCTCTATAACCATGAAGCCACTGCAGCTGTGCTGGAGTCAGACAAGGCTTTGAATATTTAAGGGAAAGTTATATATATATATATGTGTGTATATATATATATATATCATTAAATAATGCATTCAGGTTGTTTCATATAATTTGAAGTTGCTAATTACTCCTATGGAATATTAATTAGCATAGAAGCTGTTGATTTGCTTTATTTTCATAATGCAGTGTGCTTATTTAGATAAAGAGTCCTGAGAAAAGTATTGAATAACATGGCAGTGATTACATGAAGGATTTTAAGTATCTCTGCACTGGAAAATATTTTCTATTAGCCATTTTTGGCAGAAGCATAAGGTAGAATTGAAAGAAGATGGTACTGCTTTTGGTACTGAAGGTGGTGCAAACTATATACAGTTTCAATGGTAACAGATAATAATAACCCATCTAAAGATATAGCATCTAGTGATTTAGATCAATTTTGGTTATTACAGAAATGTTTTCAGTGCACAACATGTTGCCAGGCAGGGAATCTGAGTACAGGTGCCTCAGCCTGTTTCCGTGCTTCCTGAGCTGGCAGCTCTGCAAAGGCAGCATACTTGTCCCTGAACAGAAGGAGTACATCACATCACTATCAAGCAATCCTTTTGGCTGATGCTTTTAAGTGGCAGTGATGGGCTCCAGAAGGAGCCATTTCTGGGTGTCATCTCCAGAAGAAGGGTTGATTTGTGATAAGGTTTTTCAGGTGATAGTGATATTGGTTGGTTGTGATAAATGCCCCCACTCCTTGACACTTCACTGTAAACACGATTTAATTGTGAATTTATTTCAGTAAATGTGCTGCAAAACATCCACCATATCATTCATTTAAATGATCACAAAATTCCACTGGGAAAAGAAAAGGAAATGGGGATCCTTTGTATTTAAAATTGCCAATCTATTACTTCTTAGCAAGAAATTTATTTAAAACTATTTTTTCTAGAATTGCTGCTTTTCCAGATATATACAAGAGACCAGATGAAAAGGAAAAGGGTCTATCTTGGGAGTGGGAGACTGGCTGGGAGGGAAATGCATGAATGAATCAGCTTCATAGCATACTGCTCTTCAGTAATAATAATAATAATTTAAGAAGTTACTCTGCAAAAAATTCTATAAAATTATATCCCTTTAAATTGCTTGAGCAGTGCATTGTTCTAATATTTTTGTGTGTTTTTTTTAAATATTTTTAGCAGTTTTTTATGTGAGAGGCTAAACAGAAATTAAGAGGTGCAGGATGAAAAGATGGCACAATCAGTGCTGGTACCACCAGGACCTGACAGCTTCCATTATTTCACAAGAGAGTCACTTGCAGCTATTGAACAACGTATTGCAGAAGAAAAAGCTAAGAAGTCCAAAGAAGAACGCAAAGATGATGATGATGAAAATGGACCAAAGCCAAATAGTGACTTGGAGGCAGGGAAGTCACTGCCATTTATTTATGGTGACATACCTCCAGAAATGGTGTCCGAGCCCTTGGAGGACCTGGACCCATACTACATCAATAAAAAAGTGAGTAATTATTAAGTATGCATTGAGGATGTTACTGTTCAAATGTAAGTATTAAAATACAACAGATCCTTTGAAGGGCTCCCTCTCTCCACTACTTTGGACACAATCTTGCAAACACTTATTCTCTGGTTATAGCACTCCAACTGTTGACTCCCCATAGTGAGCACAGCATCTAGTAATAAGTGTTATAGGTGCATGCAGAACCAAGGCCCAGGTTTTGAAGAATGCTCCAGTAGCTTTAATATCATATACTCAGAGATTTACTCTAATTGTAGTTTCAGTATATTACACATGGGAGAATGGCTGAAGAATTAGCATACAAGTTATTTTTAGAGTGTTGTTATTTTATTAATCACTCCATTATAAATGTGAAAGGAGCAAATCTTCAATTAGGAATGTCAGCCTTTTCATTTTGAAAACCATTTAGAGGCTGTCTTGATGGGTCTCTTGCTCATTTTCTTCAGTGTCGTATAGAAAACAAGGGTTTTACTACTAAGCATTCTCTCATTGCCTGGGTTGTAAGGAGCAGGAAGTGCCTTCTTCCCTCACCCTACGCTCTATTGAGATAGTGTCTCTCTGCTTGTTTGTTTTAATCCTATGATGCACCACAAGGGGACAAATTGAATAATAGATAAGTTCTAGGACTGTGGGGAGATGGCCCCACGGTGTTCTGTATTTCTGACTGAGTGCTGTACCATTTGCAACAGGGGGGAAACTTCCAACAATTCAGAAGAAACTCCTTTAGCTCAAATGTATGGAATTTTCTATCCTCATGTTTTTTTCTTATACAGGGAAAAATGTAGCCCCTACGATTTAGCTCGTTCTCTTTGAAAACATACAGAAAACTAAAAGCAGAACCTCCAAACCAACTATTGTTAGGAATCATACATGAACTGAGAGACTCGGTAAGCGTAGGAGTTTCTGCCCTGTCATCAGTCATTTTCTCCTCTAAGACAACAAGAATATCTAGGTATATACCATGGTGAGCTGCTGACACACAGCAGATGCATTTTAAAAAAAAAATAAAAAAAACCCAAAAGCCTTGACCTTATAATGCTGCTCAGTGCAGCATTCTGAAAGTTCACATGCTGTGATGGGTAAATGGGGATCGATATTTGAAAATGAAAGTATTTGATTAAGGAGTATATACTGCTTATCTTACTGAACTGACTAGTTCTGCTGAAGCTCAATAATGCTAACCATATAGGACCCAATCTTGTCATCAAAATAATTATGTCTTAGAAATCAGAACAGTAATGGCTATGATTAACATTAAATTTATATAACCTCCTTTTGATTAATAACTCAGTTTTAAAATCAGCTGTCTTAGTGAGTGACAATACAGTTGTCAGAGACCATATCATATTTTTGATGTATGGTAGTTTCTAGTACAAAATTAAAAGCTTTACATATGAAGAACTTTATCAAAATTTTTTCTTGCATTTCCTCTGAATCTCCAGAGTTTGTATATTTAGGTCAGGCTTTATTTTCATTGCATAAAAATATCTTGGTGGGACAGGATCACACAAAAGATTGCTTCAAGAGGGATTTGGTTTGAATAAGGGCAGTAGAAAATGAGTGAGGAACTCAGATTTGGGGGCAGAAATCAAGGATAAAATGATGAGGTACCTAGAGAAATAAGGAGGAATATGAAGTCATATGCAAATTAAGACATTGCAGGTTCACTAAGGACAAAGTAAATTAAAAAAAAAAATTCATGAAGGGGTAAATATACAGCTCCCGTAGTCAGCAGGGAGCTGAGGGCAAGGCTTGGTGAAGGCAGTAAAAGCTGTGGCAGGTGAATTCTGGTGTAGGCATGGTTTGTGCTTCCAGGGTTTCAGCTGCAGTGTTTCCTACACCTGTTCACAAAGCATAGCCTCCCCTCTGATCCTAACTGATGCAGAATGTGGCCACTGGCAATGCGCATGGTTCGCTTGGCTTGTATCCCCTTTGGGATCTCTAATGCTGCCAGCAGTGCTAGCTAGCTGGTCTCTCTTACAGCATAAGCTTTTACATTCTCCTGTTTCCTGCATGCTCTCTCCCACCTCTGAGCTTACCTGAGTAGAAGCACTGTAAGCTTGGCCGCAAGCCCATGTAGAATATAAAGCTTTTAAAGACTTAGCTGTGCACAGCATATTGAGTAAAGGCTGAGCCTTCTTGGATAATTTGGATTTAAGAAAAGATTTCATTCAAATCCATTCCCTTTACAAATGCCATTTAGTATGTGTGTGTATGTATATGTATATGTAGCTGTATGTGAAAATATGCAACCAGTATAGATAAGTTGTGCTATACTGTACGTGAATTTGTAGACAGAGGGCAGAAATTGAAATATAATGTTTAGTGAATTGTGTGGTACTTAGCACAGATCATGCAAAATCATATCATATGAAAAATAGATAAATTTGCAGGCATAAAAGCCTCCCAATGCAGCCATTTTTAAAGGATTTTGCTATGTTCAAGGAAAAGATGGATCAGCACCATGAGTATTATATCCATAATTTGGGTGTTGAGCAACTATGTTTTCCTTTATTTTAATGGGAGACAGGCTTTGCAAACCACCTTTTAAAGTCAAACTATCAGTACTCCCCAGCAGCAGTATCTCATATGGTATCACTGGAAGTAGCTAGCATGGAGAATGCTGAGGTTCAAATGATTCTCACAATTAAAATTATGTTCAGCACGTGTGTTATATGCTATACTAAGTGACTAAAGAGTCAATATTACGTTTCATTAAAACTTTGTCCTAAGCCAACATAGATTATTTGTATTTTCTGTATAAAGTTGTTGAAAGGGTTTTGGAGAATACACTTGTGAAAGTTCAGTTGGCAGCTATGCCACGCATGAGGGGAACGAGGGAAAAGGTCAGTCAGTCTGTGAGGCTGTCAGTTAGTGTAGAATATGGCCAACTGTAATCAATGATAAAGTGCAATCAGTGCAGGACTTAAGAATCCCAACTGTACATATTCTAAATGATGTTTTTCATTTTGTATTCCTTTTCTAGACTTTTATAGTATTGAATAAAGGGAAGGCAATCTTCCGATTCAGTGCCACCTCTGCCGTGTACATGTTAACTCCTTTCAATCCCCTTAGAAAAATAGCTATTAAGATTTTGGTACATTCATATCCTTTTCAAGTGGTTGGTTCAAAATATTAGTGAATGAAATGCTGCTCTTTTGTTTCAGTATTTAAATCAGTAGCTGTTTGCATGTCCCAGGCTGGGTATGATACACAACGCTCTGTCCATCTTCTTGGTACTACTTTCCTCTGTTTCTCTCCCATCTCCTCCTCTCATTTCTGCTCCTGCTTTAGAGCTTAGAAATGAATCATAACATGATGATATTAGAAACGAAGTAGCCTTTCCTATTTCTACCTGTTTCCTTTTTCTTTCCCTCCTTTTTTTCTCTCTCCTTTTCTCTTCCTCCTCCTCTCTCATGCTGTATCATTTCCATCTTTTCTCACCCTTTCCCTTTTTCCTATAACTTCTTTATATGCTACAGGTATGTTGTTTTAATTTCCACAAATTTCTTCAACAGCGTTTGTATTAAAACAATCTAAACTTTGATTTCAGATTTTATCTTGCATGAATATTTACAGAAAATATGATTAGTATGTTTTCTCTCATTCTCTGATTCCAATCACAGCTGCAGAAGGGCAAATTAATAGGTTTCCTTGAATTCCTTAGTTTCATTTCAGATTGTAAGTCCACCATGTATTTTTATCAGTCTGTTTTTTCTGCTGGCCATAATAATTTTCCACACTTTTATTCTGGAAGTACCCTTTAGTCACCAAGAGTGCCTGTACACGAGTGTGGAGGCTGCTCCAATGTGCTATAATTACAGTGTGGTGGAGCAGAATCAATTAATTGAATCTGCTGTAGCATGCTCCAGCAAAATCCTGCATCTCAGAATCACTGTGCTTCAAACGAGGGGGGGCAACGAACAAGCTTTGGTTCAAGCACCCCTGCCACCATTTTAAAGTGTGGGGATGCTGATGCATGAGCTGTATCTCATGTATGGTGTATATTGTGGGAAAGACATATGTTGTTTATTTCTCCATTTATCTTTGGTGCTAAATAGGGCTGTGCGAAACTTCAGTTGCTGATTCAGTTGGGTGGAGATTTGGTCCATTTTGGTGGCCAAATCTCTGAATCTGAATCAAATGAGGAGACCCTTTAATCGCTCTGAATCGAACTGGAACCCTCCAAATCGATTCAAAGAGATTTGAAAAGATTTGACAATTTGGACAGAGACACAGCTTTAAATGTTTTTTCTACATATCTCAAGGTACCAGGCGGCTCGTGAATGCTGAGATGGTGGGGTGGATAGAGTGTCCCACGGAGGGGGGGGGTCCACAGTGCATTCGGCAGCAGACCCAGAAGTGGATCAGAAGCACTTTCAGTCCACTTCCTCTTGGCCCCCCGGCTCGGCGACTGGTGCCTCCGTGGTCTGGAGGGGCACCCGGGGTCCCCCCATGGCCAATTGCCGAGCTAGGAGGGTGTGAAGGGGGGGCCCATTGTGTGCTTGGTGGTGGACCTTGAAGTGGACTGGAAGTACTTCCGGTCCACTTCTGTGTTTGCTGCTGAGCATGTGAGGAAGCCCCCCGCGCTCTTGTGGGACACTCCATCCGCCCCACCATCACAGCATTCATAAGCTCCACCTGGTACCTTGAGGTATGTAGAAAAAAACACACAAAGCTAGGTCTATGACTGAATTGCTGATTCTCTGAATCAGCATCAACTTTTCAGATTCAGACTCGGCCGAATGAAATCAGGACTGTGATCCGAATCAATGAATCAAATCACTGTCCCCAATTCGGGTCGAATCCAAATCCGAATTGAATGTGGCCCGGTTTATACACTGCTAGTGCTAAGGCACTTCTAAAAAGCAACAATACAGTGGGAACCCACAGTATTGAGGAGGTATTTTTATAGAAGCCAATCATGACCCAATATGCAATGTGCTAATGTACAACATTCTCAAAATAGATCATTTTGGATTTATAGAAATCCTCCTCCAGGTTGGTGCCCTTCCCATTCTGCTGTTTGCAAGTATAAATTTATGAAGTATTGTAGCAAATAGTATTCTGGGGAAAAAACATAATTACTTCAACTGAGCAGGATGATTTTGAAGAGGCACAATATGCTTTTTGTTCCTTCATGCCATGATATTTGTGAAGCCAGGGATGGTTAATGTTATAAAAATTCATCTCTTGACAATAAAAGACTGCACAGAAAACTCCAGGACCAGAGCCACATGGTATTTCCCACCTCTTCGGCTTCTATTCCTATGTAGGAGCACCATCTGTACTGACGTTTTGAGTCAGAGAGGCATCAATTTAAAGTAGCTCTCAAAAATTCTTTGTAAAATAAAACTCTCCGCATTTCCTTGGTTATACTGCCCTCATGTGGCCATTATGTGCATCATGTATCTGTCTTGTATTTTTATGTTAAATGTTTTCATGACTTAGGTAAATTTTGACTCCAGATCATGAATGGTGCAAATCAAGAACAGCATCATCAAAGTGAACAAATATTGAAGTTATTCTGGAGTTTACTATGGATTAGTATTATGCGAGCAAAATTTGGGTCCCAAATGGCTAACATTGTAACCAGTAACAGATGTAGCACAAGCAAGGGCAATTCAAGTTTCTCTTTCAATCAGAAGCATAATAGTGTTATGAAGAACATAACTTTTATCTGATTTGTGTCCAGATATGTAGATATGAAAGACTGGAGATTGTATTACAGTGGAGGCACCCCCTTTTTAAGTCACTCATTTTTTATTTAATAGAAATGAAAATCTGTGATCATTTTTAAAAGAGTAGGGCATTCTTTATATCTTTCAGAGCTTTTGATTTTCAATGCTGTATTGCTCTCATTTGACTAAAGAGCAACAATTGAGGTCTTTACCTTGAGCATGAACAGAACAATGAAGAAATTAATAATGCTTCATACTGAAAGTCTGCCAAACTGTAATGTCAATTTAATATTATTGTAATTTGATTTGCTGATGTTAAGTTCCTTGACTATAACCTACATTATTCAGCATGCTTATTATGTGCACTATTTTGACCAACTGTGTATTTATGACCATGAGTAACCCTCCGGATTGGACAAAGAATGTAGAGTAAGTTAAATGCATTTTGTTTAAATATATTGAAAAGTATGACATGAATTTTAGATCAGTGGCTTTATATTACTCAAGCTGACATACTGATAGCAGGTAATCTGTGATATTGCTGCTGGTTTACTCTGCCTAATGTGACTAACCTGACTTTAAAACATCATTTTATTCCTTACTTCCATTTTCTATATTTTCACTTTATTTGAAACAATCACTGGTATGTGTAAAAGGGAATACATCAGCCTTTTCTACAAGTACTTCCCATTGAGTTCAGTAGAAGTTCTATGCTTATAATTAAGATATAAAATAGTCCCTTTCCTCCCCATCAAGTATTCTCAAGGTTCATCCCTCTCCTCCTTCTCCCACCTCCAATGTGTGGTACACGTCATATCAATAATTAGACTGCCTTTAGGACTCTAATGTCTCCTGTTCACCATTGTATGGGCCTTACTTACCCTTAATCCAATAATATTCATGCAGTAATTAAGATATTTACTTATATGAAAATAATACATTTTTAGTTCAAGTATTTTATGGAATTGGTATTATTGGAGGAAATATGTGAGAGAGAAGGATTTTTGTGGGTGGTAACTTTTATTGGGCCAACTGTATAACTGGGGAGCTTTTACATACCAAGTACCCTTCCTCAGGTCTGGGAATGAAGCAGATAGGACAAAGTCCCGTGTGAAACTCTATATGTAAATAGGAGTTTTATACAGACCTTTGTTCTATCTGATATTCAGCACAAACTGTCTTTTTTTTTAAGTGAGGCTCGATACCCCAGAGGTTGTCTATATCCCTCCCAACTATACAGTTGGTCTAATTAAAGATGTCATCAACAAAAATCTTTGCCTGTGATGAAATTGTAATTATTTTCCTGCTATTTAACAGCTGAGGAGAAAAAGCAAGAAAAGGATTGAGTGCAAAGTGAATAGCCACTAGCCAGCTCTCCACAATACAGCCATGTGAATATTTGTAGTCTATAAGTCACAGATTGGGACATGCTGCTTTCCCTCTGATTTTTTAATAATGTTATCTTGATTGTTTTTCTCTGCCATTACAATACATCCTATTTTGGACAATATCCAGCTATCTTTGATGTTAAAATCATAGAGGGAAATCCAGTTACTATTAAATTCAATAGCAAATCTCCCATTGAGATATTTTAGCATATTACAGCTAGAGGTCAGTGTGGCTGCAGAATTTGGCTCAGCTTTCATCCCTGGTGGCTCCCTGGAAGACCAGTGCTATTGAGGGTTCTTCCAAGTGATTTGGAGTTACCAATGTGGAACAGTAGGTCCCTTTGTTCATTAGAAAAAGCATTTTGTAATATAAAAACAAGTAACTAAATGGATTTTCATCAAGTTTTCCAAAATGCTTCTTTGTGGGCAGAAAACAAAAGGCTTCATTATCTTAGATGCTGAGTAGAGCTATGTGGATAATTGATTGTTTTGGTTCAGCGGCCAAACTGGAAAAATATAGGTAAAAATAAGTGTTTCAGATTTATTCAAAACAGAAATCCATTTTGAGTCAAAGTTTTATTCAAAATAAAACATCCTAGCCTTTTCAGATGTGCTTTATCCTTTTTTTTAATAATCAGGTTAAATTTTAAGATATCATCATTTGAAAAATAAATGTCAGTATTTTATTTTAAAAAATGCCAAACTGAAACATTGTCTCTTTTAATTTCTTCTCCTGCTTATTTTGGTACCATGACCTGCTAAATTTGACCTGAATTTGCAAATAGTTTATATCAACCTGAATTTTAAGTTTGATGAATAAATTATTCATTGGAAAAATATACCCAATTCTCAGCACTCATAAATTTAAGAAAAGTCAGTGAGGGTAGTCAGCCTATTGAAAGATCAGTTCACAAAACACAGACATTTCATGCTAAAAAAGATTTAAAAAACAAAACCAAAACAGAAATGTGATAATTTGAAACGCATTTTTGCAAGCTTAATTAAATAATTTGTTAACGTAAATATTGTAACAGATTCAGATTGGATTTGATTCGGTATGACTGAACCAATGGCAGTTTTACAACTGACTCAGTGGGTTTAGCAGCTGTACCTTAGTTATCCATATGTAATATAGCCTATAGTATTATGTATATACACTATATTTTATACATACATTTTGATGCTTTTTTCTCAAAAAAATATTCTGCAGATACTTAAAGTTAGTCATATCCCCCATTCAATTCTTAGATCATTTCTAAAGAAGAAAATGATGCAAACAGGAACTAGAAAAACTATCTTATGTAGAAATATTATGTGAATAGTATTTGTGTCTATTAATCTTTGTTTGACTATTTTCCTCAGATACACGTTCACTGGAATTTATACCTTTGAATCGCTTATAAAAATTCTTGCAAGGGGATTCTGTTTAGAAAATTTTACTTTTCTCCGCGACCCATGGAATTGGCTGGATTTCACTGTTATTACATTTGCGTAAGTTTTTTTGCAAATTTTAGTATTTATGAGGGTATGAAATTAGTAGCTACAAACTGCATCCTGTTTTGGCAAGTAGAACTTTTGGAGCATGGATTTTCTGTTGTTTCAATATGCTTAACTTCCTTTACACATTTTAGTATTGCAAATTACACACATGCTTCAAAAGTCATAATGGTACATCAGCCCATTTGGACTGCAATTATCATTGGCCTACACTGTTAAGAAATGCTAATTTCATATCCTGTCTTCTTTCTGTTCACCAGAATGGAAGTGATCCCTTTGACTTCATGCCACAAACTTACCAAATTAGGTGTTCAAAACTAAAATCAGTGTGGTTTACTTCAGTGACATTTAAATTTAATTTCATGGTCAGGAAAGCATATTAATAATACAAGGCAAAATGCAGTGAAAGGTGAAGAGGTCTTGATGAAAGACCCAAGTAAGTAGCATAAAATCTGCCTCAATTCTGAATAATTGTGATTTAATTCTACAGGTATGTAACAGAATTTGTAAACCTAGGCAATGTTTCAGCTCTTCGAACTTTCAGAGTATTGAGAGCTTTGAAAACTATTTCTGTAATCCCAGGTAAGAAGTAAATGGTGTAAGGTGTTAGGCCCCTTGTATCTCCAACTGTTATTTGTGTGCTGTCATTGTGTTTGTGTGTGAACTCCCCTATTACAGATATCTAACAGAGTTTGTGGACCTGGGCAATGTCTCAGCGTTGAGAACATTCAGAGTTCTCCGAGCATTGAAAACAATATCAGTCATTCCAGGTGAGAGCTAGGTTAAACACTGAGGCTGATTTTAATTACACAGATGCTGTAATCACATCCTTAAAGCATAAGCCTTGTTGCGGCTGTTCACTGTAAACAAAGTAAAAAAGCAAGAATCAAGACCTTCAATTTTCTTTACATTTGATTTTTGCTTTTTTAGTATTAGCTTTATTTTTTTTACAAAATCAGCCTTTGAGTTTAACAAACACTTGCATGAGACATTTGCCGTAAACAGCCTATGTGATTTGCATCTAATTACATCAAGCATTATTTACACGTTTTTTAAAAAGTTACTCTTAAAGCTTTTGTTTTGATGCAAATTTTGTCATTTATTGCAGGCACTTGGGATAGAAAGTTGCAGTCTGTTTTTTAAACTATATCTAATGAAATAATACCAGACAAGATAGCATGGGCCATGCATGGGAGATTTTTTTAAAGATGTCTGTCTTCTCCAAACCAAACGATTAACTGTACTTTAGTAAAAGATTTGTTGCCATATTATTAAACTTTACATGTATAATATGAACTTTTTATTTGATTTACTACTACAGAATGTTTTAAAGCCAGATAATATATTAAAAGGTTTGGGCAAGAGGCATCAGCAAAAAAAAAAACAACAAAAAAAACAAGGAACTTTTTCTATGTAGATCTAAGATGTAGCATGAATAATAAATTCACTTTTTTGGCATAAACAGTGTGTTTGGAAATATGTATTCTTTATTTCCACACACAGTCTCAAATTAACATAATTTTACAGCTTTTCATTCATCTTCACAAGCAATCAGGCTTTTCACATAATTTACTGTATCACAAACATTAGTATCATTTAGTTGTCATTCTGCATGAAAATCTTATCTTGTCAGGAAAAATCACATGGTACTTTATATGTTGAGTACCTGTTTAACATCATAATAAAAAATCCTTTCTACTTGCAGGCTTGAAGACTATTGTGGGAGCTCTAATTCAGTCTGTGAAGAAGCTCTCGGATGTAATGATCCTGACTGTGTTTTGTCTGAGTGTGTTTGCACTAATAGGGCTACAGCTATTCATGGGCAACTTGAGGCATAAATGCTTGCAGTGGCCTCCAGACAACTCAACTTTTGAAATAAATGTTATTTCCTACTTTAACAGCACAATAGGTGAAAATGGTTCATTTGTTAATGCAACAGTGAGCACGTTTAACTGGGATGAGTACATTGAAGATACAAGTAAGAATTAATTATATTTACTCCATTTTTTTCCTGAAAGATATAATAGCATGGTCTTGTCTTTTGATTATGATTAAAGTTCTTTAATCAGACCTAGAGCTGTAACCCCCCCCCCCTAAAATATTCGATAATTCAGATGCAACCAAACATCTACAAAAATATCAGGTAGCTTTGTGTACAGGGCACAGTGGCAGAGCAGTTAAAGTGTCCCCCCTACCTCTCAAGGTATTTATGCTCTGTTTTAGTCTGCCCTGGGCTCTTGCCAAAAGATGTTCCCCCTTGTCTTTCAGGCTGGGTTTTACCAGACTACCCCATGAGCTGTTAGGCTTGGATGAAGCTTCTTTCCTTTTTCTGTGGGCATGTCTACATGAGACATTTACTGCAGAGCTGCCTAATTAGCTCTACAGTTAAACATTGCCATCTACACATACAGCACTATTAGGATGGAGGGAACTGATTAACTCATCTGCAGCAGAGTTCTTTACTCCTCAGTAATGCATGTGTAGATGCTGACGGGGCTGGTTCAGGCACGAGGGTGCTTTAGTGCATGGGGTGCCTGCTGGTTATCCCCTCAGTGGAGAACCTTTGTGCTCCAGCACGCCCCTTCACAGCACATTGTACCAGGTCAGAGCAGCCGTGGGCTGGCAGGCGGACCCCTCCAGGCCTTCTGCCAGCTAGGGCTTCTCTGACCCAGCTCAACATGCTGTGGTCTCAGGCACACATTTAAACATGGCTCCCAGGAGTAATAAACTCCAGTGCAATGTGCTCCACAGTTTATTGCTTTGCCTGAATAGCACATGTAGATGTGTCCTGTACATAATATTGGAATTTCGCATAAAAAATCATCATCACCTCATGTCAAAATTTCCCTTTACAAATTTGTTCAAGGTAGTTCTAGGGGGAGTGCTTGTAACTCCTCCTGGTACATGTTAATGTGGAGAAATAAGGAAATGTTTGTCTATTACACAAGTGTTCATTTGTTACTGATTTGTAAATAAACAGAAGGTCTAACACATCAATGTCCTTAGTACTTTATCATTTGTAGAATGACTTACAGTGAAAATGATGTGACGTATTTTCCTTTATCAACCCGCTGGTCAAGGCCATTAACTGTTATGTTAAAAAGCTAAAGAAAAAAAATCAGTGTAGAACAACTCTGAAAATATTTGTCCCTTATTGCTGTTAGGAGCAGTACTCCTTTGGTCCTCATCAGTTTGTTTACTGTCAAGGTAGTAGCTCATTTTCATAATGTTCTGTTAGATTTTACATTATGTTTAATGGTTTAATTTACTTAGTAATTAGATCTTACCTTAGGTATTTTACAGCCTCCATCAGTAAAATAACTGAGGCCCAGACTGAGAGGTATATTTTGGTACCTACTCCCATAAGGTGCCTGTTTGCCATTGATTTTCACTGGAAGTTAGACATCTAGGCAGGTGTGTAAGTGTCTTTGTGGAACTGGAACTGAGTGCTTCAAAGCCTTTTACTATATTTGTCTCCTGAACCACAGTGTACCACAGAATAACCATGGAATAATAAACTGTTAGAGATATAGGTCTGGAAAGGACGTCAATAAACCATTTAGTCCAGTCCCTTCTACTGAAGCAGCAGCATCCCTGGCAGAAATTTGTCCAATATCTTCTTAAAAAGCTCCAGTTAAGGAAAGTCTTGGAATCCTGATGTATGCTGCTCTCATGTTTGTCCACCCTTTGAATTAGCAAGGTTTTCCTAATATCCAAGCTAACTATTCTTTGCTGCAAATTAAGCTGAATGCTTCTCCTAGCTCTAGTAGTCACGGAGAATAATTCATTATCATCCACTTCGCAGGATCCACTTTATAAACACTTAGAGATTTATCATGTTCCTCCCCTCCCTTGCTTAGTCTTCTTTTTTTTAACATTACCCAAACTCAATTCTTTTAATGTTTCCTTACGGGTCATGTTTTTTGAACTTCCATTTTGATTGCTTTTCTCTGGAGTCTTTCCAAGCATGGTGGCCTAAATTGGCATGGTACTCCAGCTGAGGTCTCACCAGTGCCAAGTAGAGCAGGAAAATTACTTCATATCTCTTGCATACAGTATTTCTAGTGTGACATTTTCTTTTTTTTGGCAAGAGTGTCACCCCAGCATTCTTTGTGCAGTATTGCTGACTAACCAGTTATCCTCCATTTATAATTGTGCCTCTGATTCGTCCTTCCTCAGGTTATTACTTTCAGTTTTCCTGTATTGAATTTTGTCTTGTTGATCTATACATATCTCTTCAATTTTTCAACATTATTTTGAATTCTGATATTGCTTTCTCCAGAATGCTCATAATCTTTCCCAGTGTGGTGTCATCTGCACATTTTGTAAATATGCTCTGCTTCATCTTCCAAGTCATTTGTGAAAATATTGAATAGAAGCAAGCCCAATACATTCCCACTTGAGATTCTACCCCATTTCAACTTGGGATTGAGCACTACTTCCTGAGAATGGTTTTTCAACCAGTTGTACATCCTCCTGATAATAATTATACCTTAGGCCATATTTCCTAAGTTCCCTCATAAAAATGCCATGTCAGAGTATATCAAGATGAATCACATTACTCTTTCCTTTTGTTCCACTAGGTCAGTAACCCTGGCAAAGAAAGAATATTTATTTGGTGTGCTCTGTTTGTAAAAAACCTGTGTTAGCTGTTTTTTAATCACCTTATTATCTTCTAGGTCCTTACATAGTGGTTGTTCACTAATTTGTTCCAGAGTGTACTCAAGGATCACAGTTAGGCTTACTGATCTACAGTTCCCTAAGTCCCGCTTTATCCCTTTTTTATCCCCATTTAATAGGTGGGGAACTCATCTACACTGAAATCAATAGGAGCTGGGAACCTACATGCTTTTGAAAGTATCACTAGGTTCCTATCTGTACGTCTCAGTGCTTGTGTCTACATGAGTGGCAGACTGTGCAGTTATAACTGAGTACTAAATGACTGCGCAGTAACCAGCATTACTTCACAGTAGCATCTGCATATGGTTTTTTTCAGACACTACTTCACAGTAGTCATGAGATACTGTGCAGTAGCTCATTATTACTATGTGGTAGCGTTGCCTCATGCAGGTTAGTGCCTGCCAATGTGGGCTACCGTTTGTTCTTACTGCACAGTAACATCTCATGTAGACATTCCCAGTATGTATTAAAATTTGGCCCTGATTAACTTGTGTGAGGTCCCAGAGAAAATTTCCTTTGGAGCATGGAAGTGAATACAGGTCTTCAGAATCCTGAATTTGGCTAGGACCCATATCACTGTAGCCCATTCCTGTCTAAATATAGCTATTGGATGGTCTCTTACAGTGGATCGTAGAAACAGACATTCTGGTTATAGTCCCTCTTTTATACTAGGCCAGATTTTCTGCTGTGTTCAGCTTATGCTGGTTGTAGCAGTCTAGAAACACAGTCAAGGGCTGGCTGCAATTCCTTGATTCTCTGCTCAGCCCTGGCCCCTGGGTGACCAATCACATGCCAGCTGGCAGTGGTCCCCAAGGGACCATCTGTTTTCTGGTGATAGCCAGAGCACATCTCACTCTAGCCACTTCCCCTACCTGCCTTGACACGCCATCTGTAGCAAGAGTTGTGCCAGTTCTACATTTGTTGGAGATTCCCCATTGCAAGACGACTTTTGAACAAGAAAGTTAAGGTAAATAGTTCTACTTAAGGAAAAGACAGGAAACTGATCAGGGATAAGAATACATCTTTATTTTTTAAGATTGATCTTTAGCTAATCCTCATCCACAAAGAGCATGCCTGTAGTGCCTCTGACTATGCTAGGGAGTGCTGCTATGAAAATGTAAATGAAAATGTACTTTCTTGACCACTCATGCCAAATTCTGAAAAAATGTAGTTGCTAGCACAATGACACTTGGAACATGCCCAGTAAGCATGCCTGAGCCTGAGAGAAGCATTGGGCACATCCTCAGTTCATACCACAAAGTGCCTATATTGCATTTTTTTGGCTGGTGAGGTGGGATCTTTTTTTTTACAACAGCACTCCTAGCATGTTCAGTAGTATTATAATGCTATTAAGCCAGAAGCTAAGCACTTCTGTAGTCATTCATCCAACATATGTTTACTGTCATTGGCATTTTAAGATGAGGCATACCCCCCTTATTCCACTATGTTGCTTAAGAGATGTTCTTCCCCTGCTGGCTGGTGAGAAACTAAACTGCCGCCTCCAGCTCTGACAGTGGGGCATTAAATGGCCACCCTCATTAGCACCTGTCCTGCCACATACATAGCCCCTTGTGTGGACATGAGGCCTTCCAGGCATCAGACAGAGTGGTGCAGGGGTTTCTATGAAACTACACCTCAAACTGTTGAAAGCAAAACTCATGTAATTTGTGTGTGTTAAGGGGTGAAGGTTGTAGATGTGTTGGTCTAAGGACATAGCCCAGACAAGGTTCTTAGGGTCTATCTGATATCCTTTATTAGACCAACTGAATAGTTGAGAAATTCTTCTTTGTATGCTTTCGGGTTTAAAAACCCTTCATCAGGCTGAGGAAGCATCTGCAGTTGGTGTGTGTGCTCTTTCTGGATGGAAGGAATAGTAAAGAAGCCAGAGGTTGGCATGCAATGCAGGCAAGAAAACCAGTCAGTGAAAATGTAAATTGAGGTGTCAGGGGGTGAGACACAGGCTGGGGGGAGGGGGTGGAAGGCATTGGCGATGTGTAGGGGGTGCTTGGTGGTGCACCCCCTGCAAAAAGTGCCATGACACTGCCAGCAGTGCCTGTGGGTGATCACTGCTCACCGCCTGCCCCCTCGCTGCTGATACCACCAGCAGCATCTGTGGGCAGTCTCCGATCGCCACTTGTCACCACCGACTCTGCTGGCAGTGTCTGTGGGTGGTCACCAACCACTGGTCGGTGCTTGCCATCCCACACCCCTGCCGCAGGAGCTCCCCACTCACTGCCACCACACCCCTGCTGCCAACACCACCAGCACCACCTGCGGGTGGTCTCTGTGACCCCCCAGCCTTGGGGGCACGTGGCGTTCATGGTGGAAGGGGAATGTAGCAGGTAAAAGTGGAGAGGTACCTGCTACTTGGGGAGTCAGATGTGAGGCAGGTTGTAGTGTGTCATAAATCCAATGTCTACATTGAGTCCATGAGTTTCTGTATCTAAGAGGTTGATGAAGTGAAGTTCATAGGCTTGTCTGTAAAAACTGGTTTGTACATTCAAACAAGCACCGAACCTCAATAACCTCATCACCAGAAGCCAACTTCCTACAGCCCAAAACACACCCAATGGATCCAGACCATGCCATGACAAGAAATGCAAAACCTGCTAACATATCTCCAGTATCCCCACAGACTGCGCACCAGAATCTATTACAGACAAGAATACCCAACTACCTGTTGGGGCACATTTCTCACAAGAAAACCATTCTGTCTCCAGTCTCTCATTCCTGATCCTCAAAGGGAATTTACAAACCACTTTTCACAGACAGACGTATGAACTTCACTTCGTCTACCTCCTAGATACAGAAACGCATGGACTCAATATAGACATTGGATTTAGACTGTTCCAGGGTGGCCTGCCTCTACTTCTTGGGGGTAGGGGCTTTGGAGCTAGAGGGGGGCTTCTTTTTGGGCATACTTCTACTGGTGCCAGGGTGAGGAGGAGCAAGGGGGTGGTGCCTCCTGAGATGCATCAGCATCCCCATGGTGCTGAAGTGTTTCCCCTCTTTGCCTCAGCTGGTCTTGCATTGGCAATGCAGGCAGATAGGATAAGTGGGATCATCTGCCACCTCAAAATGATCCCACACCATACTACCCCTCACTTCTTGGGTGCAAGTGTGGATCCTGCCTGATCCCCCTTCTTAGCAGGCAGAGGCACAAGAACAAGAGGAGCTGACTCAGCTGAGCCACTTGCTTCTACAACCTCAATGTCAAGCTCCTCCAAACTGCCTTCCGGGGAAGGAGATCTGGCTCTAGGGGAACTTGGAGCGAGTGGAGCACAAACTCAGATTCTACCTTGGTCCCCAGAATTTCTTTTGCTAGGGCACTCAGGTCCCTTGCTCCCACATCCAGCTCCTCCTCTGGCACTGAAAGGCTCAGCCTGGGAACTGAAATGGGGGTGGAGGAGACTGTCATGCTGGTGCTGCTTGTCATGCTGGTGGTGCTAGGGGGTATTATTATGGCTGGTGTTATTGGAGGCAGTGCAGATGCAGGCACTGGTGCCACCTCCTTGCTGCCACTAGCACCAGAAGCTTTATGCCTGCTAGTGCTAGGAAAGAGGGTGCATCTAAGTTTGGGGGAGGGGGAACTCACAGCTCTCCCTACGCCTCCTCTGGGTCTTCCACCAAAAGACCTGGCACCTGCCTTTTCAGCACGCTTCACATTTTATGTGCTGGAAAAAAATGTGTGTCTGTGTGTGTGTGTATGTAATGTATGTGTAGTGCTTTCCTGCAGTGCACAGAGATGAGACACTGCCAGGCAAAGCACTGCTTTCATTTTGTTTGGAGGGGTGGGGAAATAAGAAGAACAAATAACAGAATTTTGGGGGAAGAAAGAATTGCAAGGGATAACAATAGGGAGGGTAGGTAAGGGTCAATAGGAAAGGATTGGCTACAACTTGGTAGGAAGGCACTACCAAGCTGTAAGCTTACAGGTGCTACTCTTTGCTGATGCTCTTGCTGCTACATAGACAGCTACAAAATGGCAGAGAGCAGTTCACGAACAGCTTTTTATGGTGCTTCTCTGTTCCTCCCCCAGAGCACTGGGATTGGAAGGGACCTCAGGGACAGATCGCTGTTAGTGGCCTGCTACAGATATCAATATTGGATCAGTCCTTCCCCGTCTCCCCATCCCTCTTCTTCCCTACAAGCCCACTTCTCAAACAGTCTGAACATCCTAAACGTTTATGAAACATTTATGAAATGTTTCGGATGGATCTGTTTCATTTCGGAGCTGTTTCAGAGCCTTGCATTTCATTTCAGATTTGGTGTTTCAGCCGCCGAAATGTCCAAATCCAAAACTAAATGAAACAGCTGCTTAAATTTTGCACAGCCCTAGTGTCTACCCCTTGTGGCCAAAGCAGATGATATCTTGGCATATCCTTATTCTGCAAAATGCAGATTCTGCGAGACAAAAGTGTCCAGTTTCTATTCCTCTGACATGAAGCACACAGGCAATGCAACTTTATACCTAAATGTCTACAAAGAACAGATACCTTGTTTTTCTTTACACATCTAGGTAATCACCCTTCTCCTTATACCTGGCAGCCCTAGGACAATATTGAAACTCTGCTGACTTCAAATAATGCATATCAATCTCCTTTGCTTCCATTAGAAATTTCAACATATATTTCTCCACCTTGATGAGAATTTCCTCTTAATCTAGACTAATCAATCTTTACTCATATTAACAAGCATTTATGTACCTAGTAATCCCATTGGTGACAAGGGCTAAGTACAGATAGTCAAAAAGCCCAAGGCTGAATCAATTCAATCTTTGCAGGTTTGTCTAAGATGCACAAATAGAACCAAAAAGCAAGTGAACAAACATTCACTTTTGATTCTGGAAATGCAGCTACATGCCTGCAGTGTCTCAGGCCAGAAGCTGGGAGGTGCTAGAGCACACCTCCCTGCTCTGCTGGAGGCGACAGCTTGGGCCAAAGCTAACCTACCCACCCCATGTTGTGGGGGGGAGTGTGGGGGAGGTGCAAAGCATCCTGGGATGGTGGGGGACTGTGAGTTAACTTGTATCTGGAGGGGATCTGGGAGAGAAGTTCAATAAAACAATTTAATCTAAATCAGTGAAGTCTGATACTACATCCATCCCAATTTATCTTAAACCAGTTTCAGCCATTTTGAAAACAGTTTATGTGCACTGAACTTCTGGGCTAGGGACAGAAATTATACATACACTGGTATAAGTGATCAGAAACCAGTTGAAATCTGTAACACAACAAAAGTTCAGTGCACACAAACTGCTTTCAAAATAGCCTAAACCAGTTTAAGATAAACCTGGATGGATGTAGTATCAGATTTAATTGATTTAGGTAAAATCAATTTCTTGAACTTCTGTCCCAGATCCCCTCCAGATTTAAGTTAACTCAAAGTCCCCCAGAATCCCAGGATGCTTTGCACCTCCCTTGCAAGGTGGGATGGGTGAGCTAGCCTTGGCCCAAGCTGTCTGCTCCAGTCGAGCAGGGAGGTGTATTCTAGCACCCTCTGGCTTCTGACCTAAGCCACTGCAGGCATGTGGCTGCATTTCTGGAAGCAAAATTGAATATCTGTTTCCTTGCTTATGGGTGCAATCTACACAGCTTAGATTAACCTGTGATGATTGAATCGATTCACCCTCAGGCTTTTTGGCTGTCTGTATCCTTGTTGTGTTATCTGGTTTCCAACTATTTATACCAGTTCATGTGTAATTTTTGCCCTTAGCGAAGAAGACCATTTGTACAAGTAAGTGCTTATCAGTATGAATAAAGGTTACACAACCAAGCCGTTTGATAGCGGGTCATTTCACTAGTATGCATTTTAGAGGACTGAACACATTTTTGAATGAAAATAATCTGGAAATATTATAAATGAGATGCCCACCATGCAGTTGTTACTGATCAGTCATTTAGTACTTGCATAACCAAGGACTAAATGACTGCACAGTAACTAATGCTACTACACAGTAGCATCCCGGCACAATTGCCTAGTGATGCTTATTGTGTAGTAGCTCATTACTACTGTGCATTAGTGTCACATCATGGTTTGTTCCTGGCAATGCTACACTGCAGTAGTAACGAGCTGCTGCACAGTAAGGATCTCGTGTGTTAGTTATCCAGTATCAAAATTTTGTTAAATGTATTAAAATTTAGCCCAGTAATTCTGTCCTACACACATACACACATAGGAGTCTGATATTGGAGTTTTCATATTGCTAAGATTCCCTTACTTTTATTTTGCTGTGGTATTTGAAGAAAATAGGTTGCTATGAAATATTTAAAATAAATAACATGAAATGCCATCAATGGAAATGTATGAAGACATTTCTTTATTGATTCAGCTTTCTTGTTTTTTCTCAGTGTTTATTCCATTATTTTCAAAATTGACAGATTTGGTAATCCTATTATCTCTTGATCATTTGTGTGACTTAATGAGGTTCTAATGTACTACTGCTTTTCTGTTTCTCTAAAGGAAAACTAGCTTTTAGACCTAATAGGAAATCTTTTGCTTGTAGTCTATACATTCCTTTCCTTATTTCTAATTATTTTTCCACTGTAATTATATTTGTGATTTTTGTTTTGTGATTACATTTGTTTTCTTTAAAATACAAAAGGTTTTACTACTCTGTATCTTTCATTTAGATTTAAATAATTTTTTTCTTTAAGGACACTTTTTCAGTGCATTCAGATAACTCTTTTCACTTTCTCTTCTTAAACAGGTCATTTTTACTTTTTGGAAGGGCAAAATGATGCTCTGCTGTGCGGCAATGGCTCAGATGCAGGGTAAGACAGTAAATTCTAATGGACCATTTTCCATCATAAAAATTGTTATATATAAATCTTCAACATAGAACAGCTCAAGTTCTTGAGTTGTTCTTGATATTTCAGTATCTAGCATACTGTGTTGTTTCAAATCCCCATGGTTTGGAGTGCGGATGTCTTTTATCTGAATATTTAATGTATGAATATCAACATTCACATTATTTGAATTTTCAGTGGTATTAGCTAAATGTGTTATGCTTATTTAGCAAGCGAAAGATTAGGGGTGTGTAAAATGGGCCATATTTGATTCAGATTTGGATTCAGTCTGAATCGGGGACAGTGATTTGATTTGTTGATTTGGATCACTGTCCCTGATTCGATTCGGCCAAATCCACATCTGAAGATTCAATGCTGATTCAGAGAATCAGCGATTCAACCACAGACACAGCTTTAAATGTTTTTTCTACATACCTCAAGGTACCAGGCACGGCTTGTGAATGCTGTGATACTGGATGGGATGAAGCTTCCCACAGGAGTGCGGGGAGGGGACCCCTGCATGCTCAGCAGTGAACCCAGAAGTGGACCGGAAGTACTTCCGCCATTGGCTGCAGAAGTACTGCAGAAGTACTGGTCCACTTCCAGGTCTGCCAGGGAGGTTGCTGGGGGGCTTCCCCCATGTCCCCCCCCAGCTCAGCAATCAGCCACAGGGGGACACTGGGTGCCCCCCAGACTCAGGAAGCACCAGTTGCCAAGCTGGGGGGCATGGGGGCGCCTCCCCGGCACGCTCCCCGGTGGACCCAGAAGTGGACTGGAAGTGCTTCTGGTCCACTTCTGGGTCTGCTGCTGAGCACACTTAGGAGCCCCCCTGCACTCCTGTGGGATGCTCCATCTGCCTCACCATCTCAGCATTGACAAGCCGCCTGGTAACTTGAGGTATGTAGAAAAAACATTTAAAGCTGTGACTATGTCCGAATCGACTAATCTTTCCAAATCTCTCTGAATTGATTCAAAGCGTCTGATTAAAATTTGGAGAGGTTAAAGGGTCTCCTGATTTGATTCAGATTCGGAGATTCACCCACTGAATCGGGTGGTGAATTCACCACCCAAATCGCCACACTCTGGCACCCATGCCAGAGGTTGCCTACCCCAGGGATAGATTGTAATTCATTTTATTATTTAGGTATTGAAATGCTGTTAAGTAAAGATGGAAAATTTGAAAGTAAATAAACTGTATCATTATCTTAATCTATCAGCAGTCCTTCTTGAGTTGTTTTAAAGAGAAAAAATTTAGTTGATGTCATTATGTTTAAATGACCAAGTATTGGCAACCTTGACTCCTGAACTTTTTTGTGACCTCCTAGCAATATATATTTATTTTAGGTAGCTGTTAAAAATAACATTTCTTCTTCTTTTGTAGTCAATGTCCAGAAGGATATATATGTGTGAAAGCTGGTAGAAACCCCAATTATGGCTATACAAGCTTCGATACATTCAGCTGGGCATTCTTGTCACTGTTTCGACTGATGACTCAGGACTTTTGGGAGAATCTGTATCAGCTGGTGAGGTCCTATTCAAATAAATGTCATCAGCATCTCTTCTACATAGACATAGCACTTACACGGTGATTTCATCCATATCTCCCTAAGAACTTTGGAACAGGGGCCATCTTTTTGTTTCTTTTTGTACACTGCTTAGAACAATGGGGCTCTTGGCCATGACTGATGTTCCTCAAGGCTACAGAAATATTAATTTTTAATAGTAATAAAATAAATCTGCTTCATAAAGGTGGGCAAAAATTATTTTCTCCGCTGTGCAGAGAAATAAATGAGTCCAGATTTGTGGACTTCATGACTCTCACAGAGTAAGAATATATCAGAGTCAGGTCAGATGCCCAATCTCATATCCTATCCATTTGACATGCTGCCTCCTCAAGGGTCAAATCCTGTCATTAACTTAACATGGATATGGATGATCCTAAGTGTGAAAGGGACAGGAGCTCTTACTGTAGTAGTTATTTTGATTTTTTTTCAAAAGTGCTATAGAAATAGGTAATATAGAGTATCATTAAAAACCTGCTAATGTCATTTTCCCCCCTTAGACATTACGAGCTGCTGGCAAAACATACATGATATTTTTTGTGCTGGTAATTTTCTTGGGCTCTTTCTACCTGATTAACTTAATCCTGGCTGTTGTTGCCATGGCCTATGAAGAACAGAACCAAGCAACCATGGAAGAAGCAGAACAGAAAGAGGCAGAATTTCAACAGATGCTTGAACAGCTGAAAAAACAACAGGAAGAAGCTCAGGTAGTTTTGTAATGGAAAATTGCTCCTGTAATACAGGACTGTGTCCTGTTGTTATATAGCTGCATATGAGAATAAGCCCGCCTTTCACAGTAGTAATTTACTCCCTTTGTACAAACACTCCCTTAGCTCAATGGTGAGCAATGGAGGAATCTTGTCCTCTCCTCCACCCCTTATACTACAGGCTCCACTGAAGCTGTTGATTAGTGACACATCTATTAAAGAATGACTCAGGTAGAGAGATGGAAACTGATGGTTCTGCTACATGAATGACATCCAAATAAATTATTTCTCATTATTTACCCGTATGCAACTCAGAACAGGTATTTTGCTGTGAAAATGGGAACATTTGGCTCTCTTCACCCTTTCATCTTTTCACCCATTCCATCTCCCAGTTGGGGCAGAAAACTAGATTAGAGTCCCAGACCTAAAAGAAATGTAATAACAAGTGAACTTACGGACAGTACTCCCCTCTGGTACAATGTTGTATCATGTTTGTTTCGTACATTGAAGCATCTTTCCCCCTTTTTTTTTTTTAAGTCCCTCTGGCTCTTTAGTGGGCTAGTTGATTGTCTGACACTGTTCACCTGGCCAGATGTTACCTAAAACTGAAGTTAAACTCTGTCTTCTAAGTATGTGGCCTGCTAAAGACAAAGCTGAACTATGCCTTTAAGTAACCATTGGTGATGACTGCACTCTATAAAAACCTAATATTTTATCAAATGCTCCACAAACAGTTGAAAAGCACCAGGGTTGCTATGGAAAGCTATGGAAAGGTTAACTCAATCCTTGTAAGGCCCCGTATTATGGTGATGATACCATCAGGTATTATACTAGTTCCCAAATGGGTTGGAGACTATCCAAAATTGCATATAGACCCTAACAAAACCTAATTTTGGAAATATTATTTCCTGTTACTAAGAATACCAATAAAAAGATTACTTTCTTGTTGCTTCAACAAGGGCAATTTTCTCTTGAACTGCCCTTCCAATTTTCTCTTGAAACCACCCTATTCCCTATCCATGTCCAGTTAAGGGATAGCATATCAGATTTTGTTTTGTATTATAATGTACTAAAGAGCTCTGATGGCAAAGTGATTAAGACTTCTTCCTGTTGCTCTATAGGCCTGACTTTAAACCTTACCCCAGACTTGTATCAAAGGGAGCCCCTGTCAAGCCCAATTAGAAATAGGAACCTGATCAGCTTGCCTGGAGTCAGAGGTAGCTGGATGTGAACACTAGTCGTAGCATTCCTTTGTGTGCCATTGGCCAAAGAAACTGGACCAGTGGCCGTTCTGTGGCTCAGGTGAACCGTAAGTGACTATGGGCTGCTGGTAAATTACTGTTCTTGGCACTTTGTCTGAATGATACTTTCTTCAATTTGTTAGACCAATGGTTCTCAACCTTCTTAGCCTCCAGGCAATGATCTATAACTTTTGTGAACTGAGCAGCACCCTATTTCAAAAACTAATGTATTCATTAACAGTGCTTATCTCCTTGCAAAGGGCTGGGGTAGTGGGAGGGAAGCAATGGGGGCAGGGGAACAACAAGGGAAGGACAAGCCTGGACTGGCACTTAACCCTCACACCTGTTTATGTCCTCACACCTCAAAGCAATTTTCAAAAGATCCTCAACATCCTGGTTAAGAATCACTATGCTAGACTCAGTGAGGCGGAATCAGTACTTTCTTTTTGAATCCACTACCAATAAAAAAGCAACTTGAAATAATAATACATTTAAAAAAGGTTAGTGGTGTAGATTTTAATTGCATGTAACCTTGTGACATACAGGCAGCAGCAGTGGCGGCAGCAGCCGATTCAAGAGAATTCAGTGGAGTAGGTGGCATAGCTGGATTTTCTGAAAGTTCTTCTGAAGCATCAAAGTTGAGTTCAAAGAGTGCTAAAGAGAGGAGGAACAGAAGAAAGAAAAAAAAGCAGAAGGAGCAATCTGAAGGAGAGGGAAAGGATGAGGAAGAATTTCACAAATCTGAATCAGAAGACAGTATCAGAAGGAAAGGCTTCCGATTTTCTATTGAAGGCAACAGATTGACATATGAAAAGAGGTTCTCTTCTCCTCACCAGGTACAGTGAAAGTATCAGTTACATTCAGTGAGTATTACATCATAAGCTGTTTGTCATGGAAACTGCTGTAAAGTAAGTTACTAAAATTAATATCCTTATTCTTGCAGAAGGTGCCACAGAAACAATTACAAATGGTTAGGAACCAATCTAGTTTAAATACTTGAATTGACAGATTATGTGGTTAGAATTTGAGGGATTTTGTTTTCATTAAAAATCAAAAAATGAACCCACATGGTAAAAAAATATGTCATTTTTCATACATTTCTTCCTTGGATTTAGTTTTGCCCATCATATCCATTTAGAATGCTGCAACGGAGTTCTTTTATAGCCTGCAGCTTTTAACATATCAGTATTCTCTTTGTGTCTCCCCACTGATTCCCTTTTCCTTATTGCACCAATAGTAAGTTATTTATATTCACCTTCTAGCCCTTCATAATCTACATCACTGTACTTATCACATCTAATTCACAATTAGTGCACAAGCAAATACCTTTAGGCTAAGTATAGAGAGTCAAAAAGCCCCAGGATAAAACGTTTTAATCTTTCCAGGTTTCTCTAAACTGCATAGATCGAACCAATAAGCAAGTGAACTCATGTTCACTTTTGAAACCAGAAAGGCAGCCAGACCCCTGCAGTGGCCCATACCAGTAGCCGTGGGGCAATAAAGCATGCCTCCCAGCCTGCCAGCCTCTGCCAAAAGCACCCAAATACCGCTGAGCAGGGCTCATCCTTGATTGGCTTACCCAGCACACTCCACCCAAACACTTGTGATCCCCACCCAGGGGGAAACAGCCCCTCCAGCTGGAGGCTGGCCAGGTTCCCTAGCCTCAAAGTGGGTTCCCTGTCCCTGGCAGGGTCCCCTCAGCCCTGCCCCTCGTACAGAGAGGGGATTCCCCTGTCCTGTTTCCAGACTTAATATTAGACTTTAGGGTGGGGGGAAACCCACCTCCCACTCCTCCTTCAGCGCCAGACCCCATCTGGGTACTGCCCAGTGTGGGGGTAGGGAAGCCTGCAGTGGGGGCTTGAGTCCGCCCACCTAGAACCAGGCTGGAGTCCTCAAGGCAAGCCTCCTCCTCAGCCTCTGGGCCAGCCAAGGAGAGGGTGGGGGGAGAAACCCACCACTCTGGTCTGGCACTGGACCCACAGCCAGGTGCCTCCCGGTGCAGTGTGGGGGAGGGGAAGTACACAATGGAAGCTTGACTTCCCCTGCCTGGAGCAGGGAGCTGGGAGGCAGGAACCAGGTTGGAGTCCCCGAGCCATGCTTCCTCCTCAGTCAGCCCAGGGGCTGAGAAGTGGGTGTAGTTGGGGGGACTCCAGCCTGGCTCCCGGCTCTGGGCAGTGAAGTCAAGCCCCTGCTGTGGGGTTCCCCCACCTTTCCCCTCCTCCCCCCACACTGGGCTGCAGCTGGCTGGGGGTCTAGTGCCTGCTGGGCGGGGGGGGAGTGGATTTTCCCCCCATTCCCTCCTTAGTTGGCCTGGAGGCTGAGGAGGGGGCATGGCTCAGGGACTGCAGCCTGACTTCCGGCTCTGGACAGGCAGAGTCAAGCCCCAGCTTCGGGCTTTCCCACCTTCATGCTGGGTAGCACCTGGCTGGGGGTCTGGTGCTGGGCAGGTGAGGGCTTCCCCCACCCTCTCAGCCAGCCAGAAGAGTGATAGTGCTCTGGCTAGGGAACAGAGGGGTGGAGCACACCCTGGTCCACTGGAGCAGGCAGCACAATCCAGGGCTGCCAAGAATCCTGGGATGCTTGAAAACTGTGAGTTAACTTGAACTGGGAGGGGATCTGGGACAGAAGTTCAATAAACTGGTTTGACCTAAATCAGTGAAGTCTGATACTGCATTCTACCAGGTTTATCTTAAACCAGTTTTGGCCATTCTGAAAGCTGTTTAAGTGCACTGAACTTCTGTTCTGTTACAGGTTTAAACCTACTCCTGATCATTTAAACTGGTTTATGTGCAACTTCTGTCCCTAGCCTTAATGAGTAAAAGGTCATATAGAAACCAACCAGGTAGCAATAAAAAGTACACATGCTTTTATACTAATGCTGGAAGTCTAACATCAAGGGTAAGGGAACTCGAATGCTTAGTAGTAAATAATGATATTGACATAATAAGTATCTCTGAAACATGGTAGAATGAGGAAAATCAATGGGATGCTGTAATACTAGGTACAAATTAAACAGGAATGGTAGAGCCGGCCATACTGGTGTAGTAGTGGCACTCTACATCAAAGAGTGCACTTAAACAAATAGGTTAGATTTTTCAACTGATAAGAGAGGTACTGTAGAATATCTTTGTGTATAGAAATCCTGGGTTTCAATAGAAAAAAAAGTATGCCTAGGAATATACTGTCGACCCCCAGACAGGGACAGCAGCAGTAAGTTAGAAATGCTAGGTGAGTGACAACAAATAGACTGGGTCAACCTAACGTCAGGCAGGATGCACAGACCAAATTTCTTGATTTTATAAAAGATTGCTTCCTGGAGTAGCTAGTCCTGGAACCTACAATAGGAAAGGTTATTCTTGACCTAGTCCTAAACAGTGCATAGGACTTGGTGCAAAGGGTAAGTGTTACTGACTGGCTCAGCAAGTGACCACAATGCAATTGGGTTTGACATCCATGTAGAAGGGGAGAAAATCTACCATGCTAGCTTTTAACTTTAAATGAGAGACTATATCAAAATGAAGAGGCTAGTTAGACAGAAGTTAAAAGAGCCCCCCTGAAGAGGTGAGGAACTGTCAGGCAGCATGGGAACTGCTTAAGAACACCATATATGAGGCACAAAGCAAATGCATACTGCAAATCAAACAACAAAAAAACAAACAAAAAAAGGAAAGCAGACCAAAAGAAAGCCAGCATGATTTAATGGTAAAGTTGTAGAGGTAATGTGCAGAAAAAGACTTCTTTCAAAAAGTGGAAGTCTAATCCAAATGGGGAAAATAAAAAAAGTATAAACACTGGGAAGGCAAATGCAAAACTGAAATAAGACAAGCTAAGAGAGACTTTGAGGAGAAACTAGCTAGAGACACAAAAGGTAACAATAAAAATTTCTTTAAGTACATTAGAAGGAAAAGATCTGCTGGAGTTAGCTGGGCCTTTAGAGAATCAAGGTGTAAAAGGGAGGCTAAAGGATGGCAGGGCCATTGCTGAAAAATTAAGTGTATTCTTTGCATCTGTATTCACTGTGGAAGATGTTAGGGAAATTCCATCACCAGATCCACTCCTCTCTAGGGACAAGTCAGTGTAGCTGACCCAAACTGAAGTTTCAGTAGATGAGGCTGTAGAGGAAATTGATAAACTAAGCAGTAGCAAATCACCAGACATGATTGCATTCATACTAGGGTCGTGAAGGAGTTCAGTATGGAAATTGCTGAACTCCCAGACTATCACTAAAAGCAACCTTGGTATCAGAGGACTGGAGGGCTGCCAAGTGACTCCATATTTTAAAAAAGCCCTGAAGGGGACTCGGGTTACTACAGACCAGTGAACCTAACCTCTGTTCCTGGAAAACTGGTAGAAACAATAAAAAAAGAATTATTCAGCGCATGGATGAACATGACTTTCTGGGGAGGAATCAACAGCTTTGACAAAGGGTAATCACGTCTCACCAACCTACTAGAGTTTTTTGAGGGTGTCAAGAAGCAGGTGTATTGGGGCAATTCCTTTGACATAGTATACTTGGACTTCCAAAAGTTCTTTGACAAGGTCCCTCATCAGAGGCTTTTAACTAAGGTAGTCATGAGATTATAGGGAACATCCGCTTGTGGATTAGAAATTGACTCAAAGATAGAAAGCAAAGTGTGAATATAAATGGTCAGTTTTCAGGATGGAAAGAAGTAAACAGTGGGGTCCCCAAGGGATCTGTGTTGGGACCAGTACTGTTTAACATATTCACAAATGATCTGGAAAAGGGGGCGAGTAACAAGGTAGCTGAATTTGCCAGTGACACAAAACTATTCAAAGTGGTAAAGACCAAGGCAGACTGCGAGGAACTACAGAAGGATCTGCCACAATTGAATGAGTGGGCAACTAAATGGCAGATACAATTCAAAGTAGATAAGTGTAATGTGATGCACCTGGGCAAAATAACCAAACTATACCTACACTATGATGTGCTTTGCATTAAGGAAAGAGATCTGGGCGTCATTGTGGACAATTTGCTAAAAACATCAGCTAAGTGCTCAGCAGCCATCAGAAAAGGCAAACAAAATGTTAGGGATTATTAAGGGAAAGCACAACAGAAAATATCATCATGCCCCTTTATAAATCCATGGTACATCCACACCTTGAATACTGTGCCCAGTTCTGGTCCCCACTCCTAAAGAAGGATCTAGAAAAACTAAAGAAGGTGCAGAGAAAGGCAACAAGGAGATTAGTGTTATGGAGTGGCTGCCATATGAGGATAGACTAAAGAGGCTAGGCCTATTCAATGTAGAAAAGGGATGCTTGAAGGGGGACATGATAAGGATGTACAAAATATTAAATGGCAGAGAAAGTAAATAAGGATTTATTTACTCTCTCACAAAATTAAACTAGTAGATAGTAAGTTTGAAACTAACAGAAGGAAGTTATTTTTCACACAGTAGGCACATTTACACATGCACTCCACTGCACAGTGGGTACCGCACAGTCATTTAGTACTTGCTTAGCAGTACCCATCGGTACTGCTTAGTCGCAGTGGTGCAAGGGTCATTTCCAACCCTACTGCGCAGTAGCAGTGGCATCACGGTTAGTGCCTGCCAACTACATCGCTAGAACTCGTTGCTACAGTGACATAGCATCTTGTGTAGATGAGCCCCATGTGTAATTAAAGTATGGAACTCATTGCTACCTGATGTTGTGGAAGATGACAGCTTATCTAGATTGAAAAAAGGGATTGTACAAATTCTTGGAGGAAAGGAGCATTCGTAGCTATTGAGTATGGGAGTTAGGAATAAACCCTCTGAATTAGAACTTCTTAGACCTTAAATGCTGCAGGCTGCAAGTAAGAGAGGAACAGTGGGGAAAAAACCCTGGTCATACCCAGTTCATTTTCCCTTTCAGCATCTAGTCTCTGCCACCATGTGACATAAAATACTGGGCAAAATAGACCTATGGTTTGACCCAGTAAATGGCAGTGCTTGTGTTCTTAACCCCTACCTCTAATCGTTCCATGCCAGAATCCATAACTCACTTCTTAAAATTTCAAAATGGCACCTTTGGGCTGTCTCCCATGCTGCCTCTCCTGCTAGAAAGAACTTCCTGTAAAAATCCACAAAGCCACATCACTTTTCTTGAAATGTCTCCATAAATCTCTCTTTTGCAATGATTCCTAAAGAAAACTTGACAGTGGTGAGGCTGCTGGTGAAATGAGACCACTGCCTAGTATGCTGGCCAATAGGCCCCTGTCTACATGTTATATCTATTACACAATTACCTGGTTATTTGTGCAATAAAATTAGATTGGCTACATGTTCAAATTAACTATGATGCCTTAAAAAGGTTCAACCATACATAAAGTTATTGCTGGAAAATGTGTAATAACTTATAGGTGATATCTATTCAGCTTTAATTTGAATGTATAGGCAGTGCCCCTGTGGCTGGGAAACCAGCTGCTGGGTGCCTCATGCACCTACTGCACCAGCACTAAAATGTGATGGGACTTAATGCATGATCCCACAATAACACCTCCTGCCATGTGTGGCATGGCAGGAAGTGCGAGTGTGTGGTTCGTGCATTACATCCTGTTGCACCTTTACCTGCACCCGTAGAGGGGCCTATATTGTTTCACTGTCCTTTTGTTGTCCTGGTACCCCATCAAAGTCAGGTTGTCCAGGTAGGTAAATTTACTCACAAACAGATGTGTGTTTTTACAAGTGTGGATCCTGGTTAGCACTTTCCTAAGGAAATGAAAGTATTAAAAGGCACTGAGATCTGTAGGACTGGAGTCTGAATGAATACCATCCAGGAAAACATTAATATTCTTTAAACTAAGATGTAATTAGCAGTTGCCTATATAGACACAAACTGGGGCCTAATAAAACTCTTTATTTGTTCAACCATGCAAACCAGCACAAAGTGAGTGTATTAAATTAAGTATATTCTGTAGTAAAGCATGCAGAGTGGTGAAGGAACAATTACATTAAACAGCAGCTTTTACTATAATTAAATTGATTTTATTTTTCTAAATGTTAAAATAATTCTGGTCTTTGTCAGTCACAAGTGTGTTCTCTGTTTAATCATATTCCTAAGACACCTACATGCATACTTCTAAGTCACCTACATGTGTGTTTTGAGGAAGAAGGTCAGGGAGGGAGTTAGAGTTTCCTTCCTTGTAGATGACCACAACCTTTACAACACTATTGCTCAATAAAATACATTATTTTATATTTCAAAGATTGTTGGCTAATGGTTGTATTCTTTTATTTGTCTACAGTCTTTGCTGAGCATTCGTGGCTCCCTTTTTTCCCCAAGACGTAACAGCAGAGCAAGTCTTTTCAGCTTCAGAGGTCGAGCAAAAGATGTAGGATCAGAAAATGACTTTGCTGATGATGAGCACAGCACTTTTGAAGACAATGAGAGCAGAAGGGATTCTCTCTTTGTTCCACACAGACATGGTGAACGACGCAACAGTAATATTAGCCAGGCCAGTAGGTCATCCAGGACCATACCAGCACTTCCAGCAAATGGGAAGATGCATAGTACTGTGGATTGTAATGGTGTAGTTTCTTTAGTTGGTGGACCTCCTGCTCTGACATCACCTACTGGACAACTACTGCCAGAGGTAATACCTGATAAAGCAGGGCTGTTGGCAATCTAAGGGTGTGTGTAGATGAAACGGGGGCCCTAAATTGAAGCAGTGGGTTTTTAAAACCACCACTTCAATTTAGGGCCCTTTAAACCTCCACGTTTGTGCACACAACTCACATTTACCTGCCTCTCCAGTGGTGGGGAGGGGACAGCGAGCTGCCAGTGGGTGGAGAGGTCACTGGGCTGTGTGAGGGGCTAATGCTTCCCTCCACAGCAACAGCGCCACCCCCCCATCCCCCTAGGCACCCAACCACAGGCACCTGGCTTGGGCTGTCCCCAGCTCATGCAGGGAGGCAGGCTTTGGGGGGAGAGTGGGGAAATCAGGCTTGCCACTTTTCTTGGGCAGAGCCTGCCTTCCCGGGCTGCTGCAAGGCTGCCTGCAGGGCTTCCTGCAGAGCCCCTGAGCTGCACGGAGCCCGGTGCTTCACTCTGCAGCTGTAGGGGCAGCAAGCTAAAACTCCTCCTCAGAGTTCTGGTTTGCTGAGCCCCAAGACATTTAAGGCACATTACACTGCCAAATTTCCTACAGCGGCTGAAATTATCGAGCAATATGCCACTGAGGCATGCAAAGACTGACACCATTAAAGTGGTGCAAAAGCATTTAGCCTACTTTAAAGTGTTGTGCACACATGCCCCTTGTTTCGTTTACACATGACCTAAAATGTTTGCAATAGTTCTGGTATGGTAGGTTTTTTTTGGTGCACAAGCCAAGGTTTGTACAAAATTAAATCTCTTGGGAATGATCCCTGGTTGGCCACACTTGGAATGTTTCTGCATTTTGTAGTACTTTTAATGTAGTCTGTTAAATAAATAGGATAAAAACTGACCTTTTTTCTAGCCATCTTAAACTATATATATGAGAATAAATGTTAATCCTTGTAATTACATATTATTACCTATAACAATTAATGAGATAAAATGCTAAACTATTTAATAGATACAATATGCAAAATATATGACCTTATTATTCATCCAGGCTATCATTATACTAATTGAAGATTTAATTGGGAAGTGCTATACTCATATGTCAGATATAATGGCAAAAGTTACAAAAATAATAAATAAATTATATGAAGCTAGTGGAACAAACTAAACTCAGGTGTAATTATCATTAACCATATGTAGCACTTTTGAAGAGACAGTATATCTTAGTTGGGTAGCATTACTCTTAATTCAATATACTTACAGGAAATATACTTAGTTCAATATACTTACTCTTAGTTCAATTATATTTTATATAGATTTCAAGACTTTCAGATAATTCTTGTCCTTTTATGTTGGTTTCAAAATGTAGGTGTTAACAAAACTTTAGTAACTTAATCTATTCCAAGAAAACATGTATACCTCATGAACATACAAAGTTGTCTGTGTATCCTGTGCATAGGCATATTCATAAAAAGTATGTCCACTTAAATATAAATGGCAATTTAAATGATAAATTACAAAGCTCAATGTAAAATTTTTGTGCAACTTTTTCAAATTTTAATGATTAAATTTTGAATACAAATAAAAACATAAATTAAAATGTAATTAGTAAAATGTCATTAAAATAAAAAATGGAGACAGACATGCAAAATCAATTTCTAAGTACCAATTCAGCAAAGTATTTAAGCACATACTCAGCAAATTATTTAAGAATATGAGTAATCCTTATGTGGTTAATGCATTTAAAGCTAATCATTCATACATATTCCTTTTAGAAGTAGGACTCACATGAAATCAGTGTGCAGAAGATAAGAACTTGTCTGACCTTTATTTTCCTTGAAACAAACACTGTTTTATAGGACTGGTACAGAAGTGCTTAATCCTTAGTACATGGGTCAAATTTGGCCCATGATGCTCCCCATGGTTCCATGGGGAGCCCCTCAGGACATGACCCTATGCATTAGATTGGGCATGTGGGGCCAGATTGAGGCCCCAAGTGTGGGCCCCAGTATAAGGCCTCAGATTTGGCATCCAGGACTGGGAAGAGGCAATGCAGGGCCCCAGAGCCTGATCCCATTATGCAGGACCCTGGTGTCTAACCCCAGCATGCAGGGGCCAGCTGAGTCCATGTGGAACCTGGTCATGCAGCGCCTCTCATCTGGTCTGTGGAGCCAAAAGGTTGAGCACCTCTGGACCAATGCAATACTTACTTTTTAAGTCAACTCACATAATTATAACCCATTTTATCATCACTTTATTTTCAGGGCACCTCTACAGAAACAGAATTAAGAAAGAGACGTTCAAGTTCTTACCATGTTCCTATGGACTACTTAACAGATCCCAGTGCAAGGCAAAGAGCAATGAGTATAGCCAGCATGCTCACAAATACAATGGAAGGTATGTGGTGTGGTTTGTTTGGTATAACTAGGTATGTTTCCTTGTAACTGATTTTGTGAGGCAATAAATATAATCATTTCCATTAATAGCTGGATAGAGGAAGCTCCACAACACTTGAAGTGTCTCTATTAGAGTTTATAGGGA